AACCGGAACAGCAACGATTTTCGACTTAGGTGTTGAAACGTCTAAATGTCAGAGTTTGCAACAGGTGGAGAGAGTTCTTGAGTGATTTTATCATCTATACGTGCATGCGTTTTTTTTTGGGTGAAATCAGTTTATATTTAATGCGTCTCCTTTACTATATGTATCCGTATTTAAGTATAAATATTTTACCACAGCAGTGGTCAACAATATTTTATTCAACAGGTTCTTTGTCCAATAGATTGGCTTTTTTTAAAGTGTAAAGCAATTTTGATTATTTTTTAAATAACATTAGTAATAATAACATTCAAAATATTAAAGATAAAGACCAGTTATGGTCATGCGATTGCATTGTGAAAGAAACGTTGTGGAATCGATCACAAAAGGTTGATCATCTAGCATAAAAGTATTGGTGTGTACTGCAAGGTTCAGGGAATCGTCAACATGATAATAAATTTGGCCCAGTCTGAGTAAAGTTACAAGCACTGTACACAGAAAGATGTATATGGGACTACGCACACGTGTGCGACCCGTGCGTTATATCTATCAGGTCCAAATAGATATAATAATTTACCAAATATATCAATTAGTAGGCGGTTTCTCGGCAAAATTTGTATAACCACATATTAGTCAGAACACATTCTTTCACATGATTGGTAATAAGAGCTTCCATTTCATTTTTTGAGAGGGGGGCGTTTCCAAAACTGGCCTTTACCTTTAATATCAACAGTAATGATACAAATTATTCCAAGAGACTAGCAGAAGCGGCGCTCAGATTCATGAAGGTGTAATGCAACATTTCTTTTACATTTGTGCCATGTACATGCTCTAAAATAAGTTAAGTATATCCGAATACGAAATGGGTGTTATTTCCTGTTATTTTGAAATCTCATGATTTTTCTTTCCTCATCCGGGAGCTGAGATCCCCTCAGATGATCTATAATACAATTTTTTAATTATACAAAAAGAGAAAGAGGGAGATTGAGAGACGGAGGTGGAAGAGGGGGAGAGAGAAAGAGAAAGAGAGAGAGAGGAAGGGGAGAGGGGGAGGACGGGAGAGGGGGGGGGGGGAAAAGAGATAATATATAGCACATCGACACGGTTTTGATCCCGGGGCCTTGCCACTGAATCATGACTGTACGCAGCCCCCACAAATATAAACAAAGAAAATGCAATGAATTATCAATGATTCATTGAATTTTCCCCCTGTTCCCAACAGGAACAAAATCCTCTGTACGGCAATGCATTATGGTTCACGGCATGGCCACACAGAGGATTTTTTTTATGTTGAGGAGCGGGGGAAAATGCAATGAATTACTGATAATTTATTGCATTTCATTTCTTCTTTTTTTAATTGTGGGGGGGGGGGGCTGCCCCCCAACGCTAGTTCCCACTGTGTATAGTCATGATTCAGTTGCAAAGCAATGGCCTGGTTTTCCATGCATACTGTTATCTAGATCTATTAAGAATAAATCATTTTCAAAATCATTCCATAAATTGGGGTAAAACAAAATGATTGCACCTTTATGACCAACAGTGCATATTGTGGTGGTGGTGGTGGTTATTTTACCTGACTGCTAAAAAAGCACAAATGCTTGTTAGTAAGCAACCAGACAGTCGACGGACCTGGTAATGAGGAGTAATGCCTTAACAAGGGGCGATAGCGCATCGACTTGGTTTCGAAGCCGGCTCACCGGATTACGAGACCACTGCTCTACCGACTGAGCTATCGCGCCACCCACAATCACACACAAACACACAAGAGCTATACCAAAAGAAAGGGAGAGTCCAAAATGAGCAAGAGAAGAAAGGGAAGAGGCCCGCCCCCCCCCCCCCATTTCGTGAACGGATGGATACCATGCGTGTTCCAAAACTCTCCGGCTCGTAACAAAAGAAAAAGGTCTACCCGTATTGACTTTACACACCGGACTTTTGCTGAAAGGGGGGGGGGGGGGGTGCTGAAAAAGGCTCGAATAACAAAAGGAAAAAGTCGACCCGTATTGACTTTACACACCGGACTTTTGCTGAAAGGGGGTAGGGTCGTTGGGAACACGCATATGCGTACCCTAAATAACAGTGAGTGGGAGGGGGGGGGGGGGGGAGGTGAGAAAGAAGAAGAGAAGAAAAGGAAGAGGTGGGGATAAGAAAGAGAAGAAATGGAAGAGGTGAGAATGAGAAGGATAAGAAAGGGTCTGCTCAGTCAAGGATGTACCGTTTGAATAGAGTTCTAAAACGAGAAAGTGTAGAGCTGGATTTAGGATTATTACAAATTGAATTCCATTCATGTACTACTGTAAAACGGATAATATGGGTTTTTATAGTTGAACTGGCAATGGGAAGAAAGATAATCTCGTATACGAGTGTGCTACAACATATGGAATGAAAAATTAGTTCTAAACATATTATCGGAAAATAATGGGAGAATCCCTTTGTGATTCCAAAATATAAAATTGAGTTTTGGTCATGCGATTGGATTGTGAAGGAAACGGTGTGGAATCGATTGGGAAAAGTTGATCATATAGCATTTAATTATTGGTGTGTACTGAAGTTTCTGGAGTCATCAAAATGATAATAAAGTTGTCCCAGTCTTGGTAAAGTAACATGCACTGTACACAGAAAGATGACATAAAATTCGGGTCTTTTTTTTTTTTTTTTTTTTTTTTTTTTTTTTTACATTTGTACATAAAATAACGAAACTTAATATTTCTATAACATATTATTATGAATTTAAAGTATTATCCAAACTATCAGTTGAAAAAAGTGCAGGAGACCGCAATCATAAGCGAAGCTTGACTAGGATGGCAGCCTCAAAAAGAAAAAAAAAGTAATCTTAAGGTAAAACTTAAAATAACAAAGTGTTTAAACGTTCTTTGTGCGTAGGAAAACGCCAGCAACCGCGGGCCACTCCATAGAAAACTACCTCAAACCACGGACGTACCTGCAATGGGGGACCGTCTACGGTTGCGATACCGGTTCCGCCGTATCAAATTTACTACGTAGGGGGCGTCTGAATATTAGATGTCACAGCGTGTAGGCAACATCGACTGGATCAGTCCGATGTGTATCGCGAAATGTCACAGCGCCCCCTTTTGACTGCGCGGGAGAGGCGCTCGCTACCTGGATCATCCTATAGGAGGTACGTCCGCGGTTTGATGTAGTTTTCTATGGAGTGGTCCGCGGTTGCTGGTGATTACCTACGCACACACACACAAGTACTAAACTTGGTCCACGGTTGACGCCATAATCCTGTAGTGGTGTATGAGTTTGTGAGTGTGCTGCGCGAGTGTGTATTGTGTCTGTGTAAGCGTGTGTGTGTGTGTGTGTGTGCATATGCGCGCAAGCGTGCGTGTTGGTATGTGTAGCGAATAGTGTATGTGCACGTAACTCTCTGTTGGATGGTGGAGTGGAAACAAAATGTAGCTGTTATACTTGTCATATTTAGAAAATGGAGGCATTTGAAGAGCCATGCTCCTCAGGGAACATTTTTTTCTCTGATGTTCTTCCACACTTGCATAATAAGATGGATAACGCTCACAAATTATTTTTAACCTCTCCCCAGAACTCAACCTTCTCTTTAAACATGAAAACTGATATATCAAGTTTTACAATTTCAAACACTGGGATACTTTTTTGTTTAACAAATAATGGTAGACTGGGACTACGAAAGTCACTCTTTTTTTTGTGGTCGTATTGCACGTTTTTGTAAATAATATAGTTTACCATCCCTCTCTACATTTCATTCCATTCCATTTATAACGACAATTTTTCTCTCGAAATGTCTGAGTTCAATATCTAGTTTAGCTATTTGTAAAGAGATTTGCCAGAGAGCCTTATTTACTTCATTTTTTTGGGGTCACAACTGAATAACAGAGAGATTATCATTCATGGATTCTTCACAATATACAATGGTACCTTCTGCAGTATTTGAAGTGATGCCAATATACAGGCGCCACATTATCAAAGGGGGAATCCAAGAAATAATGACTCTTATAATGCCACGCACAATAATGTATGGGATTTACGTGCGGGGTTTGTACAAAAGTGCTTAAAATGACACGGTGTCGGTTATCATGACAAGAGTGTGTATTGAATCACATCGAATCATTCAAAACGACTCTTGTGATATACAATGGACTTGAAAGGTGTTTTGCATTCTTTCCAAATAATGTTCATATTTTCCTTTCATGAGAATCGTGCCCCACCTTGTTCCCAAATATGCATATTGTTATATGTTTATGTATATTCATAATTATTGTGGAACGGGTTCACTTTGGATAAAGAAATTGTATCCCCATCGTTCCATATCCCGAATTTCTACCATCTTTTTTTTAACAAGTTCAGCTGTGTTTATGCTAAATGGCCGCAATCGCCACCACAGGCCAAATCAGAGATTATATCTAAAATTGCATGTTTTGGTATAAAGTACGTTTGTACCAAGTTTCATGATTTTACCACAAAGTACACAATACTTCCGCCTATCCGCTGGACTCTCTCTCTCTCTCTCTAAGTGCCATATCGTTTGACTTTGGCGATCATGCTGTTCCACAACCCTCGGCTCCTAGCCTTCTATATTAGTACCACTCCCAGTTCTTTCACTCCTCTCTCTTCCAACAATTTCTGGAGACTGTCCATCCACAGTATCCTCCTTCTTCCCACAATTTTCCCTGTCAAAGCAAAATTCTCTAGGCCTTCTTTACGTGTAATGTGACCCATAAACTTCAACTGCCTAATCAACATCTCACGTATCATTTTCCTTTGCACTCCAGCTCGTGTAAGAACTTCCTCATTACTAACTTTGTCAGTCCAGGGGATTTTCATCATTCTTCTTAGAAACCACATTTCGCAACTTTCCAAACGCTTTTTAGTATCAGAGGCTAAAGTCCATGTTTCACTACCATAGTGGACTATGAGGTCTTAAAACGCAACTGCGCACGCGCACCCTGCCAGTCCGGGTCACTGCACGCACTAAGCACCGCCTACTTGCACTGCCAAGTCGTCACGCAGCAATACCTGTAAACATACACTACCGATCACATTACTGCTAAAAAAGGGAACAGTTTGTGGAAAACCGCGGTATATGAACTTGATCGAGTTTCCATGAAAATTATGGTTGCGCGCATCCGGGTAGGTTATTTAATCATTAATGTTATTGACACGCTCTCAGTTTAAAAACCAGTGTCTATAAAACCTTGCTCGTTTTATAACACTCCGCGATCTTCTCTGCGATCAGACCCGTAGTTTTGTTTGAATCATAGCAGATACCGCACAGTCGATGCTCTTAAGCTGTGGTTGCCCTAACAGGCCTTCAAGACTAAACAGCCCAAAAGATTGGAGTATTATCTTAAACATGTCGGCATTGAAGAGAAGCCCCCGAAATGTCCGCAGTCCGCGCAGCACAGCGGCCATGGTCAAACACCTGCCGTCTGCGGTGGCCGCCTTACTACAGTCGGGAAAGGGGCCGGCAAAGTTGACCAAAGTCGACACCCCGGACGGGGTAAAGGCGGTGCCCTTAGCCGACTGGCTATGGGACAAAAGTCAGGTGCAGGCGCAGGCGGCACTCGACACTGACTTCATCCAGGGCATCAAGAGTGGTCTTCTGGATCCCACCAACTACGGTGAGTTCTTTTATTTGGGTGACTATTTGGTACAATTCGGCATGTCTTAACACTACTGGGCCAGAAGGGATTACACCACACAGCGAGGTCACTGACAGGTGGCTATCTCATTAACTCAGCTCTCAACTAACGTAAGAAAAAGAGGATCATGGGGGACCAACAGGCACCGATTGGGGAAGTTAAATTCTTAAATTGTTATTATAAGATAAATTATGAGCTTTCATATCAGACATAAACAATGGCAAACCGAGCACCGACGATAAGTTACTAGTTTAAAAAGTTTCAAATTTTTAATTAGGAGCAGAACGCTCCTAGTTTTTAATATTGATGTCTGTCAATCTTTTTCGCGTAATACATCATCATCTTTTAAGAAGGACATTCGACCAAATAAAATGCAGTGTATTTCTTTCGGTCAAAAATATTGTTTACGTTATTCACCGTTTGTAGAGGTGAGAACCCATTAACTAAACATTCTATTCAGGGTTGACGCTTTGCATAACCTACAACCACAAAACTGTTGAGAATAAGAAGAAATAAACCTTGTATGAAGTGATTTAATATGGAAACCAATTTAAACTTGTAATCTTCATGGAGTCAACTTTTCAAAGAATAAAAAACACCATGTTTATGAAAATAAGTTTAATTGGATATCCATTGGTCGTTAACTTTAAAGGTATGACCAGGGACTGGTATGACATAGTAGTGACAGAGAACAAAACATTTACGGACAGTGTATATACCTTGCGCCATGGAATAACAGACCCGTCAATGTTGGAGCTCAAGCCAATATCCGGGTCACGAGAAAATAGCGTCAAACCGTTCTGTGCTTTTGCACACCAACCATATCGAAATAAGCCACTGCGTTCAAGTTGTGGAGGTCTTAAAATACAATATTCGCGAAGATGACTGCTTTTCAGACGAAAATATTTTCCAGGGGGGATTGGAAGTGTCATCTTTATAAATAGCGAGCTTTCAGATACAAACCAATTGCTCACTCTTCTCACCATAAACAAAGCTATATCCCACATTTAATCCACAGGTGGCTACACAGTTCAGGACGCCGTGTACTGCGATAATGCCACTGACTACTTTGGGATCGCTGAGATGAAAGCCTGCGATAAAGACCTAAAGGAATTCATTGCCGCACGCATAAAAAGTTACGCTGAGTAAGTGTTTGGTGAAAATAGTATGGGTGTGGTGAGTGGTGGTGTGATTGATCGTTTGATTGATCGATTGATTGATGTATTGATCGACCAATCAATCGATCGATCTAGTTAGTGAGTGAGTAAAATACAAAATATACAGTTCCTAGCTCATTCTACCCTCAACAATTGCTGTGGTCAGGAGGCGTACGTACGGGGGGGGGGATGTTTGGGGGTTAACCCCCCCTTTTGTATTTTTATGTGTGTAAACCCCACTAAAAAAAACCTGAGACCCCCCCCCCCCCTTTTTTTTTTTTTTTAAATATAAAAAAAAAAAAAAAAAAAAAAAAAAAAATTATACCCACGACTAACCTAAAAAAGGTGGCCTTACCCCCCACCCCCCAACGAAGAAAAATGTCAAATTTTCAAATTTCGAGACCAAAAAAAAAAAAAAGTGACCGCTTAGCCCCCCCCCCCCCCCCCCCCCCCCACCCCCCCCCCACTAAGCGACTTTTCGGCTGACTGAGCCGTTGCAATTTTTTTTGGACTACCAAAAAAAAAAAAAAAAATGTCCGCTTACCAATCAATCGATCGATCTAGTTAGTGAGTGAGTAAAATACAAAATATACAGTTCCTAGCTCATTCTACCCTCAACAATTGCTGTGGTCAGGAGGCGTACGTAGGGGGGGGGGGTGTTTTGGGGTTAACCCCCCCCTTTTGTATTTTTATGTGTGTAAACCCCACTAAAAAAAAACCTGAGACCCCCCCCCCCCCCCTTTTTTTTTTTTTTTTTTTAAATATAAAAAAATAAATAAAAAAAATAAAAATTATACCCACGACTAACCTTAAAAAGGTGGCCTTACCCCCCCCCCCCCCAACGAAGAAAAATGTCAAATTTTCAAATTTCGAGACCAAAAAAAAAAAAAAAAGTGACCGCTTAGCCCCCCACCCCCCCCCCCCCCCAACCACTGAGCGACTTTTCGGCCGGCGCGATTTTCAAATTTTCGGGAGCAAAATATTTTGGGCCCGATTTTAAACCCCCCCCCCCCCTTGAAAAATCCTGCGTACGCCCCTGGCGTAGACAAAGGAACATCCCTTCACTGCTATTATGTACAAATGTGTAGAACAGGTGAATATGCATGTGACACCTCTTCTACACACAAAACGTACTACCATTCGGTAAAAAAGGTCTGTAAATTAGGTGATTGCAATCACTTAAGTCGATTCGACCAACTAATAGTCGTTATTTTCCCACTAAAAGCTTTATTCAAGCCCTTTGGTTTTTTAAGGAATTTAAAAATTAGTATTGTCTTTCAAATGCCGTTCGAATTTACCCCTTTTTCTTTCTTTTTTTGGCCTGCAAATGGAGCATAGTACCTTAGACACTGAGAACCTCGTTTTCAAACCTGGCAGTGTGCAGATTGGTGCTATTTTCTTAAATTTGAAGTTCGTCTATATTTTGGCCTTTTCAACCAACCTGTATTAAGCGTGTATATCGGTTATTTTCAATCAAAATGTTTTTAGCGTGTATGCTCATGATTGTATTTGAAGGTACACGGAGATAATGTTCAAAGAGTGGTACATCCAGGACCCGAAAGGGATTGCCATGGGAGACGCCGCTGCCTCCTACTCTAAATTCGAGCTGGGCGTGGCTACAAAGGAGGAACCGTTTTACCTGCTGATTGCCATGTTGCCGTGTGAGAAGCTGTGGGGGTGGCTTTCCCAGCAGATCGAATCAGGCATAGTAAGAATAGACAAGATCCATTAAGCCCCGCCCCTTTTCTTAATGACCAATCCCACCCGCATTTTACACGCACTCACACGCATGGAACGGTGTCTGTCGGACCATAGTCGCGGTCATGATTGGTCGGTTCGGCAAGGGGCGGGGCTTTATGGATTATCGTATTCAGCTTGTTAAGAATCCAACAATTTATAGGGGTTGGTCGCCGAAACATTTTGCACACGACCCCTTGCTGTACTGCTCCCAAACTACGTCATATTTCATATCCCATTGTTTACATGCTTACTAGTTTCGTTTCGTTCTGTTCAAACTCTGGGCACACAGGGTAACCCTCACGAAGACATGTTTTGTTTGTTTATCCTGATGAAAATAAAACAATAATTAATTGATTGAGTATTTATTTTTGAAGCCGGATGGAATTTTTGAAGTTAAAATTGTTGTGATGTACACAAGTTTTTTTGGGATCGATCAAACTAAAACCGCCATCAAATAAAAAGGGTAAAAACATTCATATATGTAAACTGAAAACTAAACGAAATTCTGTATAATTATTCGTCCAAAGTACGGGTTTGCACGTCACGTATTTTTTATTGTGCAATTATAGAATGACACCAACGTGTACAGTTTCTGGATAGAAGATAACCTGCCGGGAAGCCATACACTCGCGACTTACATCAACGAGAATGCCGTGAGGTTTGGCGTGGATCCACAGAAGGCCATGGACATCTACCAACAGGGTATGCAGTGCGAGGTGGATTTTTTCACTTCGGGAACAATCGAGGAGGTAAACTGAATGGTCTGAATGTCCAACGTTCCAACTGTGAGGTTGCAACACTCTTAATTAATAAATTAATGCAAAATTACACATGATCGAAACCTACTTGGTGAACGTTAGGCTCCGTCATTTTTTTGCAATTCTATTAGCGCAATTGATACTGGAATACTCTTTTTTATAATGTTTTTTTTTAGCTCGTGGCAATTGTAGCAGTTTATGGCAATTTTTGGAAAATCGCGTTTTATTCGTAGAATTTAGTTTTAAGTGGAATGTTATCTGTAACATATGATCATTAAGTATGTGCGTATTAAACCTATGTACAAAATAAAACATGGAGGCGTATTGGTGCGAATCAAAAATTATTATGTTGATTGTACACGGTAAATGGTCTTGGTCAAAATACTATAAAAAAAATAGAAAGAAAAAATGGCAACATGTCACCACCAGCTGACAATTTGGAGTTTGTGATTTGTTTTTTCCAAAAATAGTGATGATCAGATAACTGGGTTCGAATTTTGGAAATTATTGCCTCCAGGCCGTTTAATCAAACGGCTGTTGGCTCAAACGGCACAATCAAACCTCCCACTACAACCCCCATTCCGGTGTTGCACATGTGTTTATTTTTAAACCGTTCGCGTGGCGACTGCAACCGCACTTTTGACTGGCCGCTCCCGAATCCATAAGAGCTTGACGAACTGACCAATCACGGCCTCGACAGTGGTTTGAAAGAGATCGGTCCATGCGCGTGAAACGATTCGACCTGCTTGGAATGCCACTCCCACATCTTCTCGCACACAAAATGTGAACCTCTGTAGCTGCATTTTGAGGAATGTTTCCCAATTTCGGCTTTCAAAATTTAAATGCCACAGTAACGAGAAATGAGGACCTCTACAGTGATACCAAACTGATCCTTTAATGTGAAGAAAACAAATACACTGTAGTGCCAACAACTGCGCAGAGAAAATGATTGTAGAAAAACAGCTTTGGAAACAAAATTATTCGTTTTTTGTGCTACCCACGTCCCCAAGAAAAAAAGGTCATTTTGAACAGGCAAAACATTTCAAACAAAATAGCCCCCAGAGATTTTATGAGACTCTAAGTTTTAAACAGGCCAAACATTTATATTGATGCCGACTAGTAGATTTACTTTGTTTTATTCTTTGTTTCTACTTATTTTTGGGGGAATATATGACTTCGAGCAATAATTAATTTGAATAAAACCATCCACTCTTACCCTACAAGGCAAACTGACAAATTCTATTTAAGAAAAAAACAAAACGCATTGGCTCTCAAATCCATTAGACACGCCGGCCCAGACATCTGGAACTCTCTGCCCATTGTAATAAGAAACCTTAGGACATTGTATCCTTTTTAGGAAGGCAGTTAAAACTATGTTATTGTCTAAGTATTGATCCTGTCGTGTGTAATTTTACTGTATTCATGTTCGTGTGTACATTGACTGTATATTCAACAATGATGTGTAATCGTCCATGACCTAGCGTCGCTTATCCATTCATGAATGAACCTGCATTCAATCAGCAGATGTATGAGATTTATTGTATTATTACCAACGCTCCTTTTCTCCCCTTTCCTTTTCTTCTCTGCAAGTCACACTCTTTTTTATTTGTTATTGTTGTATCTAAGTTGAGGGATGCGGGCACGTCAAGCTACTTTGCCTAATTCTGTAGCCCTCCTGCATCTAATGCATGTTAATTATGCATTTAATATATTTGTTTAATTTCGTTTATTATCTGTATAAAATTATATACACTTAAAATATTGTATCAAACCATATTATGTTCGTGAAAATGTATGATGGAAAAAAGATGCAGAAACCAATAAATCATAATCGAAGTCTTGGGGGAAACATTCCTCATTGCACTCCATAGGGCTACAAATTTGTGTAGCACAGAATAGTTTCGATTTGGAAAAACGTGTTGATTATTAGGGACATCTAAAAACCTTAGCTATTTAAGCTCTGGCTTCCCCAAACAGCCTATATTACTTATTTACTTAGCCAATCTTGTTTTGTCAGTAATAAGTAGTTGTAACGGGTCGATAGTTGGATCAACAAATAGAAACATGTACTGCAAGTGCAAAAAGGGGAACCTAATATGTAAGGTTTTCATTGAATGAATTTTAATTGAATTGAATTGAATTGAATTGCACAAATAAATTGAAGGCAGAAAAATCGTCTGACGACTCACATTTGTATAAAATATAAAAATATATTAACATAATCATGAACAAATAACAACAAATAACATAAATAACATAACAATGTAATATTATTTAATGCCTCTGTTGAGAGCCGGAGGAATTATTTGTATTATTTGTACTCCCCTGGCTCCCAACAGACAATACTAACTTAAATATATTCTATAAAATGTTCATGACAACAATCAATGTCATATATATATAGAACAAATCACAGCCAAGATCTAAAATCAAAGCAGACCTAAATTAATCATACATCATATTCTGGATTTCCGAGTCAAAGAGGAGAAACAAGAGAGAGAAAAGAAGAGAGAAAGAGAGACATGGAGAAAGGAAGAAAGAAAAATAGAGAGAGAGAGAGAGAGGAAGGAAGGAAGAGAGGAACAGCTCAGTGTGAGATGATGCATATACAAATTCATTCAAAACATTGCTTTGTACTAGACATAAATATTTCACCTGTGCTTAGTACTGTTACATAACATATGAAACAATAGTATGCATGCCAAGAAGACAACGGTATGCTAGTACATGTACATATAGATGGTAGATACACTGTACAATTGAAAGAGGAAAATTGATGTCAGATAGAAGAGGCGAGAAGAGAGACAAGAAAGAAAGACAGAAAAGCTGAGAAAAGGAAAGAAAGGAATGAGAGGGAAAGTGCAGTGTGAGATATTGAATATATTGTCGAATTGATGGGTCTACATGTCACACAAAAAAGATTCCCCTGTAGGGCCATGCATTATGGTTCAAGGCATGCCCACATAGAGGAATTTTGTAAATGTTGGGGATAGGGGCAAAATCGGTCCCCAACAGGAAAAATTCCTCTGTAGGACCATGCATTATGCTTCAAGGCATGCCCCCAAATAGATTTTTCTTTTAATGTTGGGGATCGGGGCAAAATGCAATGAATTATTGATGATTTATTGCATTTATTTTTGTTTTTGTATTTGTGGGGGTGGCCCCATACCCTAGCCCCCGCTGCGTACAGTCAAGATTCGGTGGCTAAGCAATGGCCTCGTAATACTGTGAGCCCCTAGGATCAAAACCGTGTCGATGGGCTATATTAGTGCCCTTTTGTGAGGCATTAATACTCATTGCTGTCAGTTATGACTTAAGGACGTATATCCCGTAGTTTATTAGCATAGTAACCCACACATGCTTTAGCAGTCACGCAAAACAAACACACTAAAATTGTTATTAATAAAATCTGAGAATGTATACTATTATCTAGATCTATTAGGAATAAATCATGTATAATGGTTTCCCTATAATCAGGGGTGGCCGAGCGACTTACAAAGTGGTGGGGGCACCAACATAAAGGGCACCTACAAAGGGAAAGGTCCCTTATTAGAAAAAAAGGGTAACCGAATTGAATTTTGCTGCTCCATGGCTGCAAGAAGCCTGGGGGCAGACATCAAATAACATTGATTGAAAACACATATTTATTATAGGAATGAATATCTGTAATCTATTTTATCGGGTCTCCCAAACGTGGTATCAAACGGCGTGAGGATGTGGTTGTGTCTGTGAGTGGAGGCGGCAGGTGTTTTTTCATCGTTTAAATCAGTTCAAATCGAAAGTTTCTCCTTTATTATATGTACTCATATTTAAGTATAAATATCTTTCCATACCACTGGCCAACACGATTTCTTTCAAACAAATTTTGTCCAAAAGATTGACTTTTTCAATATGTAAAGCAATGTGGAGCATTATAATAATAATAACGTTGAAAATAATAATAATAACAATAACATTAATGACAAAAGTTATTCCAAGAAAGTAGCGGAAGCACCGCTCCGACGGGCGGGGGGGGGGGGGTAGAAAATCATGCCCCTCCACATTTCCAAATAACCCAAATTGACCCCTTTGATTGTGAAAATGTATTTCTTGTAATGGGGTTCTCGGGCACTCTTTTAAATCTCTGATTCGTGCCGTAGCTTCTCCCCTACTAATGGATATCCCTTTTTTCATTCTGAACAACACCCCTCTCCCTTGAATAAGTGCACATTTGTTAGCCACATTTCCCGTTTTTGTTTAAAACATGTGCGTTTTCTAAAGCCCCCAACCCCACAACAAAAATCTATCCTTCGGAGCATGTGTGTAGATAGTTATCAGTTTAGAAGAAGGCATCGATCACCTGGCCCGAAGCGCCTTTCTCGTCGGGGGTGCTGATGAATATTTCCTATTAACTCCAAAAATTCATAGCAAGCCAGAAGATGTAATTGAAATGTAATGTAACATGATGACATGGTGATGCTGAATCCGAACAAGGACAATTGTGAAAATTATGTTAAAGGTCGATACGAAAGAAAAGCTAACCTTATTTGCAATATTAGTGTTATGTTTTATGAAACCGTTTATATCAGCTCTGAGTCAAGGAGAAACGGTATTCTTTTGTTTGAATATTGTTATTTTTTGTTTTGTTGAGGTTTCTATTTATATAGTCTACATTCTCCTTTTGCCCTGATTGCGTTTTGTTTTGATTGTGATAAAAGCGATATCACTACATTTTATTGAACGTAAGGCGACCTTGTGTACATAGTCTAATTACAATTTTCCTTTGTTTTCTTGAGTTATTTAATGATATGTTTCTATGCAGTAGTAGTATATTAATGTAAGTTCTGTTTTTCTTTTGTTTGATTTGATAATCATGCTATCCTATCATGCCAGGATTGATTTCAGTCAAATATTTGAATTTGAATTTGACTTTGCTTCAATCATTTATGCACCAGATAGTTTGATTCACCAGAAATTGCTCCAAAGTCGATTTTTATCAAAAATGGCTGACTTCGATGATAAGTTTTGTTTTGTGCTTTGTTTGTATTTTGTATTCGCTTTCCTCATTACTATGATTGTAAGGGCAATCGCTGTGTTTTATTCCAAGCCACTGGCTTTTTTAATGCGAATTCCTATGCACAAATTTATACACTCTAAAAACTGAAAATGTTAAATAACCATTTAAAAGGGCCGAGGAGTGACCACTCTTTCAAAATGTCAGATTGATACTTTTATCCTGCTAGATTCAACCTTTATAGTGTTGGATCCAGCATGTTCAAAGTGTTAATCTACCATTTTGAAAGAGTGGTCACTCCTCGGCCCTTTTAAATGGTGATTTAACATTTCAGTTTTTAGAGTGTAATATATTATATCCTTGTATTTTATGAAATTAATAAATTAAATTGAATTGAAAAAGTAATGGACCAAACATCTATACCTAAATGCTGGTTCTCTATTTACAAATAGCAAAATATTTCACG